AGCTCCTTCTTCTTTAAGTTGCCTTTAAATTAGCACAAAATGGGAATGATTCCCACTTGTGCCTCTCAGAGAAGGGAAAGGGAATAAAGTAAACATTAAAACCACGTTTCATGAAAGCCACACCCCTCCCCTCATTCACCCCTCTCAGCTTTCCATCCAAACAGGAAGAAGTTAGGGTGTTTGGGGCTGGAAGTGGGGGCAGGAGTGCAGTCCCTATTTATACTTATCTTCCCCAAGGACAAGTGGCTTGGCATGATGTGGCCTGTAGGAGTCAAGCGGTCTGCAGCTCCCCCGCCTCTGCCCCTCTGCCCCTCTGGAAAGCCTTAGCTGGGGTCAAAACCTGAAATGCCTGCAGGGACAGGAGGACATAAACAAAAGCAGAACATTTTACCACAACGGCTTTAGCATCAGAATGTTTATTTGCAACTTAATTCACAATCGCCCGGGACAGGGAAGCCACCAACGTACCCCTCCACCTATGAATGGAAATACAAACTGTGGTATATGTATACCATGGGGCACCATTCAGCCCTAAGAGAAGATGGAGACTGCATCTTTCGTATTTGCCGGGATGGAGTTGAAACACATTCTTCTTAGTAAAGTATCTCAGGAATGGAAAAAAAGTATCCAATGTACTCAATGCTAATATGAAACCAAATATAAACAACTACACTCCCCCAGGAAAGAAAAAACATAAGTATAGTCTAAGTTTATAGTCTAGCAAGGGGGAGGAGGAGGGAGAGTAATTGGCAGGATCTCACTTAATGTGCACGCTGTGAGGGTGTACAGCTGGCCCCTGGGTGAAGGGCTCAATTACAACTTGAACTTTACCTTAGAATTGAAAACAATGTAACCTAAACATTTGTACCCTTGGATTAATCTGAAATAAAATTAAAAAAAAAGAACCATCCAGGTAAGAACCATACTTACCTGGATTCTCCAGGATATATTGTTAAGGAGGAAAAAAACACACACACAGAGCAAGGAGGGCAGTTTGCTATCTTTTGTGTAAGAAGGGAGAGAAATTACACATGGATGTGTAATAACATATTAAACTAAAAGAGATGAAATAATCACTTACCTAGAGGGGTCAGGCAGTAAGGAGGAAGAGAGGCAGGGTGGAGGGGATACGAGTGAATAGAGTCTATTTTTCTAACTATATTTTTTGTTTTGAATTTGAGCCACATAATTGCTGAAACATATTTTACCCATTCAAAAAAATTTAATTATACAAAGAATAATAATGCCAGGCACAGCGGCTCTCGTCTATAATCCTGACACTCTGGAAGGCCAAGGTGGGAGGATCCCTTGAGCACAGGAGTTCCAGACCAGCTGAGCAAGAGCAAGATCCTGTCTCTACTAAAAATAGAAAAACTAGCTGGGCATTGTGGTGAGCACCTGTAGTCCCAGCTACTCAGGAGGCTGAGGGAAGAGGATTGCTTGAGCCAGGAGTCTGAGGTTGCTGTGAGCTGTGATGGATGCCCCAGGGTCACCGCGACAGAGTGAACTCTATCTCAAGAAAACTGAAAGCAAACTAAATCTGAAATCAAGTTGAAACAAATTATCCTGTCACGTGAGTGATGTAATATACATGAAATATAACCCTTTCAAGTAACTTTAGAGATAACAGTACTCTTACTGTTTATCTTTAATGTAAAATATATTCCAAGAACATAAAAAGAAATGCTAAAAAA